TATTAATTTGTTCATAGATAGAGATATAAATGGCGAATTCTCAACTGTTTGCACACTTAAACTCGCCAATTCACAAGACGAATCTGGCCATAAAGTCACTGAAACAGGTGACTGTTCATTTCCTGCTGACCATTTTTTGTGAAGAAATTCTAACAGTTTCATAATTCGATCGTTTGTGTTCAGTTTCACACGAAGATACGGGTTTTGATCCCGATTTCGCATGAAAACGTGGTCTCCATTGCTGGTTGGTTCTAGATGAACGTAGACTTCCGATGGGATTTTGTCAGCTTTTTTGACGCCTGCAGAAATAAAAATGCTAATTCTCGGGATACGGAAACAATCTTAATTTCAAAACTCACTAAAGTATCTACACAATGCCGGACATGGGGGTGTTCGAATTGTAACAACCCTTCTTGCAGCTCTCACATTAACAACTCCTTCGTGAAGAAGTTCTTTGAATTTCGACGCAGTGACTTTCATACTCGCCGTTCGCTTCTTCCATTCACATGCATTGATTATCAGAAATAGCTCACGAGCATCGCGTGGAATTTGTGGTAGATCATCTGGAAGGGATGACGAGTTGGCAAAGGTGAGGTCGGTCTCTCAGAAATTTCAGAATATTGTTTACCGTCTGTCCACTGCAAAATTGCTCGATACGCCCTCACTGAGTTGAAGAAAAATGTTTTTACATGTTCTTTCAATTTGAAGAATTTCCGTTTTGCCATCAGCTTCACGACCGAATCATAGTCCTTTCCAAACTGAAAACAGGGAAGCTCTATCAATTCGCCTTTTATAACATGTTTTTCTTATTCCTTACAAGTTTAATTCCATCATAGAAAGCGTTCACTTCATCGATTCCCCACGGTTTCCTGATACGTGGCACTTGCATGTGAGGCAACATTGGCGGTCCCATCAATGATGAAGTAGTCATCCCTTCCAAATTAAGACATTCTGACATCTCCGAGGATTCAGAAAGTGACATAGAGGATTCCTCTTTGATAACAGTAGAAAGTAAAGAGGGAATAGGGATCTGCATTGGTGGAAGAGGGGGTTTAAATGCTCGACGTCTTCTGGAAGGGTTCTGAGGAGTCAGGATGTCTTCTGAATCGTCTGGAACATCGTCGAAGTCATAATCATCGCCTTCTTCTTCTTCCTCTCCTTGAGTTGGGTCTAAATAATGAATTGCATCTGGAGATGACATCGCGTCAGGTGGTGGTGGTTGTTCTGATTCTTCATCCATTTTATTCTGAAAACTTTAAGCTTTAAAACAGAATTTGAATAATTAAGTAAAAACAGAGAAAATCGATGGAAATCGCAACATTTTTGAAACAAACAAACGATTTTCTGTATGTGAACATGATGAATTGACATAATTTTCCGCAGTTTTAAACTGCTGTCTGTGACCGTGGCCTAAAACATCACGCAACTAGGCCAGGGGTTTTTTTGCATTAATGCATGTATTGTGGTTCTAAATGAAAAGATGTCCAAAATAAATCAGAGACTTGATTTTTCAAATTTAAAACAGCATTTTTCGAAAGTGTCCTATTTTTCTCCGTTGTTGAAGTACTTCAACGGTTTATTTTTGCTATCGACTTGGGTGATTTCAAGAATTAATAATTAAAGAAAAAGAGAAATATGAATGTTCAGTGTCTCTGCAACACCAAAGAAATAAAAATGGATCTTTAAAAGTATTGACAGAAAAAAGGAATATTTTACAGAATCGTTTTTTATTGAAAAAAAAAAAGAATCACAGAAAAAACCAAAGTAAAAATTGCGACAAATCGGGGAAAATTAGTGTTACAACAGTCAAATAATTATTGAAGAACACTATATTTTCATATGAACTAATCATAAGCCGGCAATCCAAAATCCTCTGGTTTGAAATGTTCCAGTGAATCCAAAATTAGAGTAACTCGTTTTTTGAACTCTGGATCTTGATCTGGATCATAAATCGATCGTTCTGGGACCATCACACACTGCATTCCGGCATCTAATGCAGATAGTACTCCATTGTAAGAGTCCTCGAATACCAACACTTTTCCAGCATTATCTGGAACTTCTGGGAAACGTCTCATGGTGACGAGGAATGGATCTGGATGAGGTTTTCCGTGCTGAAAACTACAATTTAGAGATTTTTTTATTTTTCTCTTACCTTCACTTCCGGATCATCGCCCGAGAGTACTTGCAATTTGATCATGTCAACCCAATCTCTGTGATTATCCAATTTAGTCGGGAAAGTTCTAGAACATGATCCAGTACAAAGAGCAATTGGAATATGATGATGGATCAAATGACGGACCAATTTCTCAGCTCCCGGCATTGCAGGACTATGTTTGAACATTTCAATTAGGATGGCATCATATTGAAGAGAATATTCTTCTGGAGTCACAAGATCTCCGATATTCAGTTCATTGATTAGCCAGCGAATCGATTCATCATGTCGTTTGCCCATTTGTCCTGAAAATGGGAAGATGTCGAGGAAGCATGGGAGCAATTAAAATCCAACAAATTTTAAGTTTTCTATCCCGTATATAGAACATATTCTCTATCAGAAAATGAGACTAGGAACCAAATGTCTCCTCTTTTTTAGGTTCTTGAAGCAGAATTTTCGACTTTCAAATTTGTGTGCTTTCGGTTCTTTTTTTCTCACTTCTTTTTAAATCCATTGTGAACACTTTTCCATATTTTTTCAGCAATTCAGAATTCGCTTGAGTATAAGCGGATTCTGTATCGACAAGAAGTCCGTCAAAATCGAAAATCACATGGGTGACAGGAGAAAATGACATCTGAAAATGAAATTTGTCAACGAACTGAAATCTGAGAATTTACAGATAGAAGTAGATGAACACCGCCAGAAAATAAAAAAGCCAAACAAATCCAATAAAATAAATTATTAATTTAAAATTAAGGAATGTACACTTCGACATACAATAAAAAAAAAGAAGTTGAGATTTTCAGAGTGATACAGAAATAAAAGGAGAAGGCATGATTTTCAAGCATGAAGTGAACACATTTTTTTAATTATGAAAATCTGAAAAATGAGATTCTGACATAAAGAGAGAGGGCGATATAATAATAAATGTGTGATTATTCGGGATTAAAAAGAGTACATTAACGTTGAAATATTCTGAGCAGACAATTTTCAGATTAATTGACATGGAACATTTCGAACTCGCGCGGTTTTTGTTGCCAAATTCCGAGATCTTGGCGACGAAGCCACATGATGAATGACTTTTTGGCTGCAGAGTAGTCCAGACATCCAGCTTTCATTTCTTCGTACGTCATGGACTCGTCTAGAGGAGTTTTGGTTAGGAAACAGGTCTGAAAAATTTACAAAATTCAAGAAAAACCTTTCAGACATATGCTCGAAATCCTACCTTTACCATCAACTCGACTAACGATTTCTTGCACAATCTCGATGGTTTCTCAACATCCGCTCCAGTCATATCCTTCTCATGAACCTTCCCGTCAAATGTTCGAACTATTTCAACTGTTCCATCAGCCAAATTCCAATTCATAGATCCTACAGCAGACCGAGCAGAGACTGACGTGGATTGTTCAACATCTTCCTGTTGGCATTCTCCAATTTTTACTTGATTTACGCGGAATGGAGCAGGTGGTTTGAATGAAGAAGCACGGGTGTATACTGCTTTGTTCATCCGAACGAAATTGTTTTGTTCGGCAACAGCGATGGAAGCGTAGTAGACCTGAAAACAATTTATCGAATTGCGAGTTTCCTGTTTCAAGTTATTTAACTCGAGAAAAATTCACTAACCGGCTCAATGAAATGCGACAGCAGTGCTCCTTGGACTCCTAACACGTTGGCTCTCAATAATTTATCTGAGCAAGACATAGTTCTCATTCTCTCTCCTGACATAATTCCATCAAACGTTTGAAGATCTGCGAACTCTTCGGCTCCACCCAAAACAGTTCCCATTCCTTTGTCTATTTTGAAACGAAGACGAGATAGGGCTTGCTCTTCTTCGGCAGTTCCAGTTCGGACTTTTCGCTGAAAAAAAGATTTCGAGAGGTCAACTGCTTTCTCAAACTGACATCAACTCTGGCGGTTCCACACGGTGCTGTGTTGATGAATAAATGGAATGAAATTCCCTGTCTCAACGCCAATTTTCCAATTTTCCCGGTCTCAAATATCGAAGAGGTGGCACTTCCAGAAAATTTCAAGACTTCCGAATACAAGAATCTCAGAAGGCCTCGTCTAGCGAGAATTTCAGCATGACAATCGATTAAAGCACTTCCATCGCTTGTGATTTGATCTCCACGGAGTCCTTTGTTTCCGGTGGCAAGAGAAATTAGTTGTAATTTATCGTTGATTTGAAGGAAAATCGATGCAATCACTTTTTCGTAGCCATAGATTTCAGTTTCCATTGTGCAGAGTCTGGAAAATGTGGAAACAATTTTCAACACCTTATTCTTCTACTCACTCATAAAACTTGGCATAAGTATGCTCTCTCAACAGCTCAAAGAACGTTGTCTGCTCCATAAACTTAACATGTGGAGCTTTTGTATTCTCCACGAGTTTCAGAACAATTTCCAAGCCCTTCCATGAGCATGACATCTTCGCATCTTTCTTTTTCGACATGGCAAGCCCTTCCACTCTTTGTCCATCCAACTCAACAACACAGACAAAGTTTATACGATTTTCTGGTAAATTTCGGACATAGTAATCGAAAACTGGAGTATTTCCGACTAGTTGTTGATAGAGTTCTGTGAATAGAGACATTGGATTCTTTCCTGATCTCTCGACGGCTTCTTTCACTGCTTCTGGAACACCTTCTGGAATTTGGAGAGCGTTGGTAGAAGACTCTATTTTGATATCCGAGATATCGGCTGCCATTTCTTCACTACTACTGGTAATTTTAGCCATCTGTAAACATGAAAAATAGACGCATCTTAATAACTATAATTTTTCTAAGCGACTTCGATCTGAAAAATTTAAAAGACAATACATACGCCAATTCAAAGATATGAGAAACCACAGCGAGGTAAATAATCTAAGACAAAAAACAAACTGAAAACCAATTCAGAAAAAGGTCGTATAACAAAAATTCTTGTTCATCTACAATTCGAAAAGGCGAGAAAAAACTTCAGGGACAGTAAAGAATAAAACGAAACACAAAAACTACTGAAATAATTACAAAAGAATCCTTAGAAAGTTGTTTCTCCCATTTAGCGATAGAGATATTCAGCCTGAAGATTCGATGCCAATTCCGGTTCCCAACGATCTCCATTCAGAAGAAGTTTCTCCTTATTATAGAGCAATTCTTCGTGAGTTTCAGTAGAATACTCGAAATTTGGTCCTTCGACAATAGCGTCAACTGGACAAGCCTCTTGACAAAGTCCACAATAGATACACTTAGTCATGTCGATATCATAACGAGTTGTACGACGGGAACCATCTGGACGGGTCTCTGCTTCGATGGTGATCGCTTGAGCGGGGCAAATAGCTTCGCACAATTTGCAGGCGATGCAACGTTCCTCTCCAGATGGATAACGACGAAGGGCGTGCTCTCCTCTGGAAATAATATATTATTGTTGTGCGAAAAAATTGGAGTCGAGACGCAGACAGTTGAACAAAAAATTTCTCTGCGTCTCCACCGAGTATGTGCTATTTAGGCTTGCCGCTTCGAGGTGCATACCGTATTCAGACTGCAAAAACTACTCTCTAACTCCAATTTTTTCGGACAACAATAATAAGTGTTGAAGAGAAAACCGGAGTTTTTTGTTTAAGGGGTTCTTGAATTCTGAATTGTCTTGATTTTGAATAAAAATGTATTTGTTCGTGGTTTTTTTTAAATTTTTGCAGCTACTAGTCACCTGAATCTCGAGCTGAGAGGTCCCTTTTCGAAAGGGTAATTGATGGTGGCTGGCTCCATGAAGACGTGACCAAGCATCACTCCAAATCCTGAAAAACCAATGAGTTGTAGTTCATATTCCAAATAACTTAACAAACAACCTGATTTAGAATTGAAATTTTAATAGCTGACTTGAAATAGCTGACTTGTACAATTTTTGTATGCCACAAACAAAATTTTTCATCCTCTTGAAAACGCACCTCGGAAAAGCTCGGTGAAGAAAACGGTGTGAAGACCATAGTTCAAATCGCCTGCCACGGTTCCGTCGGTCTCATTGGGCATTCCGACGAATTTATAGTTGGATCGTCTTTGGATGGTATTTGATGGGACACTGCTGATGGCGAGCTGAAAACTCCCGATTTGTATTTATTTCAAGCTCGTCGTTAAGAACAAACCTGGGCCGGCATTCTTCCGAACATGCCTTTTGTCAGCACTGCCACACTTTTCAGCGCCATGTTTTCGATAGGTTAAGTTACTGAAAACAAACATTCGTTTAATTTTTAATGATTTTCGTTAACGATAAAATGGTTCAAAACATGGCGAGCGACAAAAGGAAACACCCCACGAAACGGCGCAAACGTCCTGAAGATCGAGAACGGCGTCAGGAGAAAATACATTGCGCGTTTTCGGTGCGTGTGGAAAGTTCCAACTAGACCTAAATTTCCTTGATGTTTAATTGCGGGATTAATTACGAATCTTAACCTATTAAAAAATTAATTCAGAAATGAATCGATTAAATATGTCAACATCTTATTTAATCAAAATTCTGAAGTGATTTTCTTTATCAGTTTAAAAGGCGAGATTATCTACAGATTTCTAAATCAGAGAAATTGGAGATGACCCACAAATCGTACAATTTTGAAAATTAATGGGGGGACAGTTAAGCGAACCGGTTAAAGTCAGCGAACAGTGAGTGAAAACTAAAAAAAAGGAAAAAAAGAGCGACAATATAGAGGAATGCATGGTTACGAAATATTACACCCGGTTAGAGGGAAAGGGAGAACGGAGTAGAAAAAATAAGACTTCATGACATTTTTTAGATAAAATTTTGAACAATGTAAGGCTAAAATGCAACAAGGAAAATACATAACGGTCACATGAAATCGAAGAAAGAAAGCAAACAGAAAGAGGTCGGATTGAATGAAACATTTTTCTCCCGATTCCGTGAATAGGCTGACGAGAACAGAGAGAGAGAGAGAGAAAGTAAATGGAGAGGAGAGGAAGTCAGCTTCGAACTTCCGAATCGCAAGCAAAACAGGAATATCGGAAAACACGGTAACAACTGTCACCGCAAAACACACCTGAGGTAAGTGTCTCCCATTTAAAAGTTCGTGAGAAAAAATTAGAGCCTGAACCGGTAATTAGAAACTTAGTAAAAGAAAAAATAAAAGAAAAAACTGCAAGAATTTCAAATTCAGGACTTCTCAACTACTCTATAAATAGCAAAAACTATGAAATTAGTTGAAAATTNTATGAAAAAAACATGAAGTACCGTAATCTATTTTCAGGCGCATGTCTTTTGCTAGCTAGGTCTCGTAAGGAATCTTTGAAATGCGAGTATA